ATGTCGGCTAAGACATTCATTAGATGGCGCTTTTCAAGTGTATTATATGTGATTAGTCTTCTATGAAACACAAATTTCGATTGATAGAGTTGTATAAATAATTTTTTGTCGAACTTCTCTTTGTGCTTCATAGTTTTATTAGATTTTCTTATTATTGAGTAATAATTTGCATATGGTGATAGGGTTTCAAAAGAGTAATAATTATATATAATGAAGAAAAATTAAATTAAATAATTTGTTACGCCAGTAGATGTTGATTTTTATGATGTTTTTATTACACAAGTGTCAGCATATCAATAAATGTTTAGGCAAAAATAGAAAAATCTCGATATGATTTCAATGAATATGTCAATTGTATAAAAAATAATTTGATTTTTACTATTTTTCTTGATATGAGTTTGATCTGCTTTTGACTAGTACAAATTTCGACATACTAATATTCTTTGGTAAGACTTGAATTAGGATGTGCGTCAAAACAAAAAACTATCCCATATCCTATCATGAAATCGATATAATGTTTTTGAATACATGTACAAGATCATGATCAAATATAAAAGAGACAATACAAAGTATAAGAAACTAACAACAGATGAATGATAAGAGCGAATCGATACGTTTACTTTTGATATAATTAAGTTAAGATACGATTGAGAAAAGTGGTAGACAATATCATTCATTTTTATAATAAAAGTCGAAATGATATACGAAATAGTTTTATCTCACTTTTAGATTATTATGAAAACTGATTCGAAAAAACAAAAACAAATATTTTCATAATGAAATATAGAAATAATTCTACAGATAAATATAAGCAATATGAAAATGATTTTGTACTTAACTGAAATAAAATCTAAACGCAAAACGATCACTAAAATATGATTTGATTGATTATTTTTTAATTGACAATTTTACAGTTCCAATGAAACTGACTATGAACAATCAATAAAATTTCAATTATGTTAAAAATCAAAAGTCCAATCAGAACACAACTTTCACCAATCTCTAAAAGTCCATTGTCAAAAGTTAATACTGTGAATGTTTTGTTTTCGATTTTTGACGATTGAAGGTTACTCTTTGTATATCTCTCCCAACGGTGATTGACTTTCGATTCTACTGACCGAATTGTTTCAAAAGTAGGATTTATTTTAGTCTTCCTAGAAAATTCTATAAAAGTGCACGAATACCTTGATTATTCATGTTTTCTTCTCAAGGTGTACTGCTCGTTCCTGTATAATCTCTGAGTATTTATCAAATGAAGCCTAAAATACGAATAGAAAGTTCACAAGAATATAAGCTAGTCTTATAATATTTGAAATCTTGATCTTCTACTAGAACGACAACAATGTAATCACTGACTATATTTTCCATAACAAACAATAAATTAATTATTTCCATCAATGTAGACCAATGGAAAGTATTGTTATAGACGAACTGTCAAATCTCTAATAGTTCATTAAGTAATTGAGAAAAGACATAAACTAAAAAATATGATTCAGTTTTCATTAGTTAAGATTTATCGTGAGGAAAAAATTTTTTTTTTCTTCAATATTTATTAGATAATTTAATTTTCCCATAGTACGTATTACTGAATGCTTTTCAACTTTGTCAAATATATCAAAACAGAATATTTTCGAAATCTACTTTGACGTGAATGTATTAAATTAGCGATTACAGACACATTTCATTAATATGTAAATTTGATATTTTAAAAACCATTTTTATTATTATCTTTGACTATTTTCAATGACGATGTGCGTCCAACTGAAATATGAAAATTGAAAAAACAATTATTTCGTTAATAACCATAGCAATAAATACAATTTGATGTTATCGTCTGCAAAAGAAAAAAAAAAAAAAAAAGCCTAATTTTCTTAGTAGAATTAGAATGACATTTTTCAATAGTTGGACTGATTATATAATAAAAAAAAAATATCTTATTTAAATATATTATAACTTAAATCTAGATAATAATAAGTTTTTTTAAACTTCTCTGACATTAGTAAATTATGAATGTAACATTTTTGTTTTGCGTTGAAGTAATTGAAAATTTCTATAAAATATAATCGATAAATAATTATATTTAATGTTTACTTTCTTCCTTTTATTCAAAACTTATTATAGAATATTTATGTGTCAATGTTTAGTAATAAAATGAATAATTTTTGCCTGATAAATATAGAAAGATGTGCGCATAGAGGAAGTGACAACCATAAAGTATAAATAGTTATAAAAAAAAAAATATTTTGATGTTAATCAGTAAAAGTGACATACAGAATAACATGTATTTCTTCTTTCTTTTTTTTCTCACAGTAAATTTTAAATGATCGATATTCATGACAATAGTAGGTGGTAAATTACTGATTGTATCATTAGATGTCATTTTTTATTTGTATTTTTGGAACTTGAATAGATATACATTTCATACTTACGAAGATCTCTTTTTTAATATTTTTAAAGATAATAAAAATCTATTTCAATGTGAACATATCATCAAGATTTTATTTGGTTGATCACACACGATAAGGTGATTTCTATTGTTGTTGTTTTTTTTTGCTTTTTACTAAAATGGATAATGTTAATAAATTTATCTATTCTGAATAATCGTTAGTATGCGAGATTTGAAGTCTATCATGTATTCGATTATTCAATTTTCTAATTTGATTTATAGAATAACAATAGAATATATGATTGAATTGACAATTTATATGAAAAGAATATTTTTTTTTCGAATATTCTTCTATTATATCTATTTAAGGCATGCTTTATTTCGGCATTGTATTGAAATATAATGTTAGAAAAGCTAGAAACTAGAGTTTCTTTTTTATACTCATGGTCTCTATTTACGAAAAAAAAAAAAAGGGAAAAGAACAATATTCTTTTTTCACACATCGATATATATATATATATTTATTTAACTAGAATTGTTCTATGATCTAGGCTCTTGTAACACGCTAACATGTACTAATATTAGAAATAGTTAGGGTTCAATTCATTGGATCATTGCATATATAAAAATAGGCAAATGTTTCCTCTCTTTATGTCTCGTCTTCTCTCTTTTTGCACTCATTCTCTTTCCTTTTTTTTGACACTTGAACTAAAAAAAGCATGATGGTGACATAGATCGTGCACGATAGAGAAAATCAACACATTGCTTGATCGTTTGCTATCAGGTAAAAATGAATGAAATGCTTTTGTGTTTTTGATGAAATACAGACATCAAAATCTCTTCTATCATTGTCATTAGATAATATAATACTGTAAATTGAACTTCATGTAAACAAAAATCTCTTTGAAAAGTAAGACTATTTTAAGAGAAATACTCTATTTTAACATACTATATAATGTCTAAACCACTCAGATAGCAAGTTACAATCTGCTAATAATGTAAGACAACATTATCTGCGTAGGAGGTTCTACACGTTTTCTTGTTCCTAAAAAAAACGTTTTTCTCTCTATCGCGCTGTTTGGGATTCTTTTTTTTATCGTCGTCGTTCTCGATTGTTTTGTATCGTTGTATGTCTATGCAATAAGCATTGTGTTGCTCTGATACCAGCGAAGACGTTAGTGCGCACAGCTTGCTCTTCTGCTGCGTCTTCTTCTCCTTTTTTCTACGTCTCTTACTTTTTTCGCACAAAAAAAAGAAGAAGAAGAAGAAGAAAAAAGAAGCAAAGAAGAAACAGTGCGACATACAACGGGTCGACGACAACAACAAAATAAGACGACAAGGGAGTAGAGTCGTAAGGATATAAGATGCGTTAAGATTGTTGACGACAACATTCTGCAAACGTTTGAAAATGTATAATGAAATAGTGTACGTTTGATTTGATAGACAGTCGCTATTTTCACACAATCATCATGACCAATTGTCACATTTATTCGAGCGGTGAGTGATAATAAAGTTCAGGTACAAGCTTTGTTAACATAAAAATTTTATTTTTCTTATTTTTCATTTCTTTCTATGCTTGTCAATAATTATATGTTGGAAACAAAAAGCTAATTCTTATCTTCAATTGATGTAATTCTACTTTTGAAAGAGAGACAAAAATAAGTTTTTTTGTTTTTTTCCGATAACTAGTATGTCCAATTATATGTCTGACTGTGTCTTATTTTCTTAAGTAAGCACTTTTATCCCATTAGTCGGTCGATAGGAATGAGATATATATATACACATATATATATATATAATATGTCTAGTTGTTCTCTTCGTGTTTGTAGATGCGTGTATAGATGATTGTCTAGTTATTATATGGTACAAAAAAATATTTTGGACTAGTACAAAAAATTATCATGTTTAGATTATGTCAATGAATACATAAGGTTTTTTTCAATGTCAACTTCACTTTTTCTTTTTTATACTTCTCATATAAAATTATATACTTTAATATGAAACAACGACTCGTATTGCTTAATAATAATGATAGGAATTTATATGTGGGCGAAAGGATGTGCGAATGACTGGATGCAACTCTTTTTTTTTGAGAGTTTTTGTTTTTTATCTATTTTTACATCACTTAAGTTCTTCACAAGAAATATTTGTTCGTTATTTTTAGTGTTTATCAAATCTACTTTAAGTTAATAAATGTTTTTAGTATGCTATCAAAATATCCATACGTGCATAAGAGATAAAATATAAAAAAGAAAAAGTACTTTGTTTTCCTATATATATGATATTGGTTTATGATTATTGACTTCTTTCTATTACTAAAAAAAGATAAGACAAAAAATAAATAGAAAGATTGTATTAAACGATACTACTACTCATCTATTCTCTCGATCATAATAGTCAGATCTATCGAAGTTCAAGGCAAATGCTTTTAAAAAAAAAATGTTTTTTTTTTTCTTCTTTCTATTTATAGATTTTAATAGTGAAAAGCAAAAAAAAAGCAAACGATAACATAATTATCACATATCTAAATGTTTAGAATTTTAGTCATATAATGTAAACGATGATTACCATCCAGAGAAGATGGAATGATTTTATAAATAAATCGGATTAAAAAATGGCAATGAATGTCATCACAAAAAAAAATCCAACAACAACTGCTGCTACTTCACGCACACCTTATCTTTCAATGATGACATCTAATGTAACCAGTAATAATAATAATAATAATAATAATAATAATAATAATAATATAAAACGGCGTGAAAGTTCAATCGGTGAAGATTCAGTAAGTGTAAAAAATCATAAATGGATCTTTTCCTTTTTTTTTCTTAGGTGTTAATTTAATAAGAACTAAGAAAGAAAAAATGATTTATGCTTCACATATTATTTTTTAGCATAAGAAAAGAAAAAAAAACAAATGTCAAAAGTTAATATCTATCATGTGCATCTCATTTCAAACAACATACAATAATTTATTGTCTTCTTTCGATAAAAAAAAAAAAAGAGAAATATATGTGTATTAAAACAAACAAAAAATTTGGTCACATCATATACAACAAAAGAAGTATTTTAGTATACTGTATTATGCCATAGAAATACTTTGATGGTCTGTTTGTTTGTTTGTTTTCCTTGTCTGTTTGCTAAGTCATTTATTCCGATCGAATGAACAAAATCATTCTACAATGAAGCAAGTTTTTATTTTCTCATTTGTACATTTATCATATGACATGGTTAGATCATACATATCAACAGTGTATGTTTTCTTTTCTCTTTCGTTTTGATCTATGACGATTTCTCGGAATAAATCAGCAATTAATGTGCAAGTTATCATAGCTGTCGCTTCACCAAATATGATTAGTATTGATAAAGAAGAGTATGCTGTATTTCTCTATGTGGATGTTAGTTTGATGTTTATCGTACTGGTAGAAGATCCGTAGTTTTTTCTTTTCTTTTTTTTTTCATTCTGGTGTTTTTGAATAAAGACAAAGCATATATACATATGACGTAGTATCTTCTTGCTTCTATGTTTTTTTTTTCGCTTTATTATTGATGATGGGAGGATAGAAAACGATTGTGCATGTGTCCATCTTGAGACATTACCAGTACTGACAACAACAATAAATGTCACATTAAACCGACTAAGGTATCAATTGAATAAAAGAAAAATCGTTTTTTTTTGTTTTTTTCTTCATTCTAAATAATAGAGAAACTAAACAGCTGTCGAATCGATTAGAATCTCAATGACTATTGATACTACTATTTTAACTATGCATAAATGATATGATATTGAAAATATATTTATTTGAATTGATATAATGAGAGAAGAAAAACAAAAAAAAAAAAGGAATAATAATAATATTGAGATTTTTTCTTTTTTACTTGAGAACACAACAATGAAAGATCATTTGAAGTGTAATTCATGTTGAGTAATACTTTAATGCAAACATGCAATAAAGATCTTAATGCGATTTTCTAAATTATGAATTATATACGAAGAAAAGATTAATTTATTAGTCGAGTTTTATCACAACACAATCATAACATCGTAAGATCTTCTTTTTTTTTTTTTTTTTTTCTTTTTGTTGATGTTGTCGGTATGACCTAATTTTCTTTAGAACACAAAAAAAAAGAAAAGAACCGGAACGATAGATCGGAAATGACTTGTCAAAATTGATTCAATAGTTTTTCTTACAAGTTACAAACTTTTGTCTTAGATTATCAGAGCAAAAGATCGAAATTAATATCAAAATTTTGATTAATAGATTTCGTGACACTCTTAGATAAATAGAAAAGAAAAAGCAACATGATGATTAATAGACTCATAAAATCTTCCTTCATCTGTATAACACTTGAAAAATGTTTTATCTTCCTATATATTATTGCTCAATCAAAACTTAGAGTAAGTGCATAAATTGTATCCTTGCAATCATAAATCATTAATATATACACACACATCATCAATAATTATTGAATAAAAACAAAAAATATTTTCAAACTAGTTCTTCAAAACGACATCTAACTATAATTATTATCAGCATAATAATGATAATATCTCATAAATACATATCTTTTTCTAAACAAAAACTGACGCCTATAGATATTATTCTAAGTTGTTGTGTTCACGAAAGAAAATATTCATTCCGTATGTTGTCTGTCTGAAAGTTCATTATTACATATTGTCTATCCTTCAAAGCAAGGTCTAAATATTTCATATATATATATATATATGAATATCATATACACATTTATATTGTGATCGATAATGACAACAATATGAATGTCTGAAGAGAATAATCTATTTCTATCCAACTGATAATTTATATAGGGAAAAAAAAAAAATAACATACACCCACACATGATGGACCAGATGTGGTCTTTTGATTTAGTCTGTTGAATAGGGTGACGTATATTTTTGTTCTTTTGTTAAAAACTAGGACGTTTACGCGTGCGTGGGTTTGTTACCAGTTGTTGGTCTTCATATATATATATATATATTGGCATGTTATACCACTTAAATAAACGCATTTTTACTTTATTATTAACTCTTGAAAATACGGTTTTCTTCTTCTTCTTTTTTTTTTTTACTAATGAGATGAACTTATATCTTCTTCCTTTTCTTCTTCTTCGTTGTAGTTTTGCGTCATTCGTTCAATAAGATGTAATGATTTCTTGTTGACGTCACTAGTGTAACTTCAACTAACGGAAGCAAAGAGAGACCTTGTTCGCTCGCCTTAGCGTGTGTGCGAATGTAAGCAAAATGCGATGATTTCTTTCTATTGATGCGCTTATATGTGACGTCGATTGTCCGTCGTGCGGTCGATGATGACGTCGTCATATTCATCAAGCGAGGAGAATCAGCATACAAAAGAAGATATATACATGCGTGCTTAGGCTATATTCGAGTGCTGAAGCAAGAGATTGTTTCCTTAACTAATAATCGTCACTGAAGAAAGAAAGAAGAACAGAGCTATGACGTCAAACTGATGTATTCGTTGTCCCATCTAATAAAATCGTATCTTCATTTCACATAAAGTGCGTCCGTACGAGACATACACGTATTATATACATATATATATCATAGATCTTTATTTACTATTATCTATTTTTAAGTTAGAGTTATTTGATCATTTTATTATTATATTTTTTTTATTTACTAGGGTGTTCAAACAGATCACGATAGCGCAGGAAAATCTTATCGTTCAACAATAACTAGTTCAGCGAATACTGTTCCTTCTTTACCATCATCATCATCATCATCATTAAGTTCAAAACCAAAAGACACAACGACGGCGCCTAATCCTCGTTCGGGACCAACTTCTACTACGATGGTCACATCATCGACACTTATTCCTCCTACTATTGATACTAAACTATTATCATCATCATCATCAACACCATCACCATCATCATCAACAACAACACTTATATCTCGTAAAGATTCGAATGCATCAAGTTCAGGTGCTTTTTCTGAACCATCACGATCATTTGGTCAAGAAGAAAATTCGTCCGATTCATTATTTAGTCATACATCACCATCATCACATTATGTTATTAAATGTAATGTAAATCCAAAATCTACAATATCAACATCACCAATGCCATTAACACCACGTGTTAAAGTAACTGTACAACAACCTTCTATAACAACTATACCATCACGTACAGATTCATCATTTGATAATGTTTTATCATCATTATCACATTTAAAAACTCCGACTACGAATACTTTACCTATAATGACAACAAGTATAGCATCGAGTGCACCAGAATTTTCTCTAAGTGGTGCATCAAGTATTGAAGATTCAGATGAATTAGTATCATATGATAAATATTTATCACCACATGGAAGACAATCGAATCCTTCACCTGAACTTCGTAAAAAGACATTTGATGATTGGACTAAATTAGAACAAAGATATTTACCACGTAGTAAAAGTGAAATAAATACAGTACCAACAGAACAAGCTCAGCAACAAATAACTACTAGTCAAATAAAACCGGTTAGTTAAAAAAAAATAAAATTTATCATTTTCTATTAAGACTATAATACGATCGATCTTCAATGTGATCTAAAAAAAAAAAAATATTCTATCGAATATTCAATAATTGTTTTATTTCTAGTCTAACATATTTTGTTGAACAACAAATAATAAGGACAAAAAGAAGGAGTGGAGAAGTCAACAGGAAGATAATAGTCATTATAAACTATTGCGACGTTCTGCTATTTTGGCATTGCACAGGAACTTTGTCGTACACACTTTTCTCATTTTATATTTGCAAAATATATCAATCGATTACATGTGTCTACTTCCTTGGAGACCTCTTTCACTCTCTTATTCACTTTCTTTTCCCTTACTTATTCTTCACCGAGTTTTTTATCTAATCGTGCAAACCTACTCCCCCCCCCTCCTCCTTCCCCCGTCTCTCCATAACTTTTTAATTCGCTTCACAGGAAGAACAAGGGAGACATAAATGGTGTAGTATGCCGTTTGTAGTTTTTTTTTTTCTTTTTATATGCGAATACTGACGTACCCCCAAACTTTTGCATTATAGTAGTACTTCTGTTCTTTTCCTTTGCATTTCCATCGTCGTTGCCGTCGTCACTATTCTCTTTGCCATTTCATATTCACATAGCTACACATACATCATATAAAATGATCAGTAGTTGAGAATTGACTAATAGACAATTGTCGTCGCAGGTCGACGTTTTCCTTTTCTCTGTGTTTATATGTTTATGCTTTCTATCTCATATTGTGTGCTGGAAACACATTTTAAATTTCAAATGTCATCATTACTTCATTTCTATCGAACACGTTCAGCAACAACGATCAATCAACTTAAACCATTACAACGTATACGTTCACGTAGTCCTGATGATGTTTTACTTAGACAAAAGGTAACATGATATACTCTAATGTCATCAACAATCATCTAATGGACGTACTCTTATTCGTTTTTCTTTTCTTCATCTTATCTTTGTCTGTTTTTTTTCTTATTATTCTTGCAATTCAATCTACTTATAAAATCTATAAGGATACTAGAACAAATGATAATAAGGTTTCTCATTTAACAAGGATCTTCGTTTTTTTTTTTTTTTGTTGTTGTATTGACTATAATGCATCTATGTTCTCCTGTTATAAATAACAATTTCTATTATTAGGAATAGACAATTAGAATTTCTTTTTTTATATATTTGACATCACTTTGAAATATATATCGATATTTCCGTTGATATATATATATATATATATAACGAGAGAAAAGAAAACATGAATGATTGTTTTTCTAACAATAGCACAAAAGAAAACAAGAGTTCTTATCATTAAACATATAAAAGTTATTTTTTTTTCTCTCTATGCATTAAATAATATAATTATGTTTTTGTTTTTAGGAAGCAACATCATACGCTAGTGAAGATGACGATTCAAATAGTCGTATATCAGCTTCAAGTAATTCATCAGACATAACAAAAAAGAAAAAATCTAAAGCAGCAACTATGTATGTAATAACAAGAAATATGTTTTACTTTCAATTGTATTTCTTTTTGTTCTACTTTTCTAGAGCAAAAGATTTCAAATCTCGTGCAGCAAATTTAATTCGACGACGCACAACAGAAGCAACATTATCTGAAAAAAGTCTTATACCAACACGTGAAGATGTTCAATCATGGGAACAATCATTTGATGCTCTTCTACGACATCGATGTAAGAAATTTAAAAAAAGAATAAAAGAATGTCAAAATTACTTATAGTTAATTCATGCAAAAAAAAAAAAAAAAAATTTTTTTTATTTAGATGGACAAGCTTTATTTCGTGCTTTTTTACGTACTGAATTTAGTGAAGAAAATTTAGAATTTTGGCTTGCGTGTGATGAATTTCGTTTATGTAAAGAACCAAAACGATCAGCAAAAGCAAAAAAAATTTATATGGATTTTATTGCTATTGGTGCCCCTAAGCAGGTAAAATATCTTTACATAAGAAAAAAACACAAACTAATAATAATAATCAATAAATCATATTTAGGTGAATCTTGATACAGAAACACGTATGGCAACAATAGCTAATATTGATAATCCACCATTGGATACATTTGATCGAGCTCAAAGACGTATTCAAGGTTTAATGGAAAAAGATTCTTATCAACGTTTTCTTAAATCCGAATTATATATTAATTTATTACGTCGTACATCATATCCTACTCAACGACGAACTACAACTGAATTATCATCAAAATCATCTTGACAAAAATTATATATATATATATATAAATCACCTGCTAGTTCAGGATATTTTTCTTCCATCATTATTTATCGTATGACACTGGTTGTCAGTATTTAAACAATATAATAGACAATGTTTGACTGTGGATCTATTTAGAACTATATGTGTGTTTCTTACTCTCAGAAAAAAAAACGAAAACAAAATATGCCTCGATGGTTATCTCATTGTGGAAACTTTTTTTTTACTTCTATGTGTGTGTGTGTGCATATAAAAACAGAACACAGAGACGGATGACAGAAAAAAAATATATATATACGATTAATTGATTTAGCAAATAAGTATTATAAAAAGTGACATACTTGAGATTTATATATATGAATATATAAGAGGGATTGAATATTTGTGAAGTCAATAAATGAAATTATAAGTTTATGAAAGAGAAAAAAAAACAAAAACGAAGTTTTTAAGAATATTTTATGGGTTATAAAAAAAAAAAACTTCATGACTTTCTTGTGAGTAAAATAATTATTTGAATAAGAAAAAAAAAATAAGATCTGGTTTTTTTTATATATTCCACCTGTGTATTATCAAAAATAATTATTTGACAAGTCCATTGAAACGATTATGGCCTTATAAAAGAAGAAACAAATAATGATAATAAACAAAAATCTTAGCTTAAATTTAATTCATATTATTAGAACTAGTAAAAGCCTGGTTTTACTCAGATAAAAACGATTGAAATATTGTGCTTGTCTAACTTTTAATCATTGTCGATCATAGAAATTCTCTTTTTAATAATCAATAGTGATCATTGAGATTTGAGATGCACTTATTTCTATATCTATTTTCTTTCAAAAGTTGATTATTGTGTTATAAATAGATAGTAGTTCGATAAAGAAAAGAGAACAATTGATCTAGAATATATTATTCTTAATATCGGAACCCAATGAATCTTATTTATATATTTTAGTTCTCGTCCTTCGGGTTTCCGACTAGTCCAATTTACAACTATTTGTTACACAAGGGAAACCATCATTATTCAAATAGAATAAGAAATATAACGATTTCCTTGCTTTAGAAATTCATAGTCAATGATGATTATTTTGTTCTAAAATAAATAAAAAAAAGAAAGAATTTTTAGAAAATAATTCGATTTTATTTTTTTTTGTTTTAAATAAATAATATTATTTTTTTTATTGAAATAACTAATTCTTCGATGAACAAATTAGAAGAGATGATAAATTTAGAAAAACAATTTAAAATCATAATTATATTAAATGTTTCTTTTGTTCTAATTTTTGTCTTCTAAAAATAAATACTTAATGTAAAATGAAATGAAAATACTAACAGGAAAAGTAAAGCATCATATTACATTAATCTTTATTTTCATCTTATGAGAATGTTATAGTTCGACACAATTATTTTAATATAATATTTCAATTCAAATAAAATCATAATTAATTTGCGCATGATGAAATAATGTTAAAATACATATCAATATCGTTGATTTCTTATGAAAACTGACAATTAATTGCATTTTTGATCATTTCTTGTGATTGACGTGATTTGAATAGGCATTTTTTTAATTATTAGTTATATTCATTTGATTGCAGATACTCACAGGAAAAGAAAATAATTTCCGATTTTTTTTTTTTTTGTTATCTTAATTCAATCATGTTAACCTTCGTCATATAAAGATAAATTTTAAACAAGAAAAATGAATCGATGTCTTAATCATTAGAGAGAAAAAAATGATTTTTACTATGGTATTAAAGGCTAAATCTGCAATCAAAATTTTTTGTATAAGTTCGTTGAAATCAAAACATACACAGTATATATAACTCAATTTAAAAACACTTAAGAGATTTCAATATTTTTTGTTTTGTCGAGTACTATTGAGATCATTATGATTAGTTGTTCATTGTAATAAGCTTTTACTTTTTCGATGAATTCTACAGAACTAACGAGAATTGTAATAGAAAATTTTCACATTCTTCATAAAATTACTTTTTATATTATATTTTTTTTTTTTTGGTCACACATAACATAGAGTTCAATGCATACAAACATTATTTTTTGTCATGCATATTATTACATTTTTTCTCGGTGAAAAATAACCATAGAAATGTACCTGTTTATTGATATTTTTTACTTACTATATATGTATGTATTGAGAGTTATACTATTGAATAGACTATAATATCTGTAATAATCAATCAATAGTAGATCTAATATGAATAATAATAGTAAAATTGGTTCATATGTTAATTTCTAAAACTAATCTTCAACATGTTTTCGAACAAAAATACGTTGATAATGTTTTATTTTAATTAAATCGATCTTACATCTTGACTCACAATTTATTATCATTTTTGTTTTTTTCTTTTTTTCTCATTAATGTGTCGGTAGAGTTCGCTCTCTCTTGATATTGAATGGAATTGGTTAATCTAATGCACCATTTAAAAATAATATGTCAATCAAACGAGATCAGTCACATTTATATTGTTTTCGTTTATTTTCCTAATATTGAAAAATAAAAAGGGCAAGTCTTCCATTGATTCTATCTTTCCAATTAACATCCAAATGTTAAACATATCAATAAAATTAATTTAAAATCATAAAAAATAAAAACTAATGGATAAATTTTCACGAACAACATTTTCAATAAATTTTAATGAATCATTTAATTCATCTGATCCTATTTTAAATCCAACAACACCATCAACATTTGAAGTTATAGGAAATGAAATAATTGATTATTTTGAAACACATCGTGAACAAATTCCATTATTAGTTATTGTTTATTTATTAACAATAATATGGATACTTTATCTTATATTATATCATTCACGTATTCAAGGTATTATATTATCATATATATTAAGACGATTTATTTTTAAAGATTCAACAGAAATTAAATTTGATTCATTTTCAATATCATTTATATCTGGTGCAATTATGTTTAGAAATTTACATTATACAACAGGAAGTTATTTTGTTTTTGTTAAAGATGGTTGTTTAGTTTTTCGTTATTGGTCAAAAACAAAGACAAAACCAATAATACGTTTAAAAATTAAATTATATCATCTTGATATACAATTTTTTAGTCCAATACGTTCAAGTACATTATCAGATAGTAATAACAATAATAATCTAGCAGATGATTTACAAAGAGGATCAATAAATGGGTAAAAGAAAGACCAAAAAAAATAAAAGATTATTTCAAATATACTTTTTTTTTTTAAAGAATTTCAACGAAAGGTGATGATTCACAAAGTGAAAATACAATAAAAAGTAGTGAAGATGGTTTATTTGTTAAACGTCTTCGAAATCTTTTTCCAGCAATTGAAATTAAAGTTGAACATGTTAGTTAATTTTCTTTGTAGAAGTCTTTTTTTCTAAACATATTTTATATTATAAAAGGGTCGAATATCAGCTGGACATGATACATTACCATATGGTTTATTAGTTCGTTTTAGTACAATGACAAGTACATTTACAAGTATATCACCATCAAGAAATGTATCACAAATTGATTTAATGACACTTATTTATAATTTAAAATATCGAAATCTTCGTATTCAACTTTATCCAATTCGAGTTTATAATGGTCCATCACGTGAAATGTAAGAAAAATAATATTTACTTTTATTTCGATTACTAATGGAAATCTCCTTAGATGTTTAATTGTTTTTTTTTTCGATCTATAAATACTATTGTAGTATCTATAAGCAAAAAAAAAAAAAAAATCATTGAAATTGGAAAAGAACAATTGAGAAGGTTTCCATTGTAAGGTATCAAAAAAAAATTAGACATACTCTTAGACGAAATTCGATTATCTACATTTCAGTGATGTGATTATCGACGATACTGTAAGATGATGCTTACAGTATATATATATATTCAGACAGGGTAAACATAAGAAATGATGACTGAAATGATATTCATGAATATGAATGACCGAAAGGCATTCGACTATGGGGTACACAATGGTTAAAATCCATTCTCTTATATAACTGAATATCTAAACAATTCGATAGTTTTATACATTGAATTGGAAATTACTCGACTGTAATGAGAACATGAATAAATATAATTTCATATTCGACATTTTAACTTACAGTTTTTTTGTCCGACAGATAATCTAATAAAAAGACGCAAATTTACTCTTAATTCAAGTTCGTATTATATTCGAGTAAAACAAAAAAAAAAAAGGATCACTTATTATACTAAAACAAAAATATATCTATGGCTTATTAATTCTTCTAACATTTGTGTTGTCTTTAATCATATGAAAAAAATCTCTGAAAATACTTTGAATGTGTAACAAAGACGTATTCTTCTTCATGTCTACATTTTAAAATATCAATATTCAATGCATTAAAATATTTCACAGAATAAGCTTGCTTTGTTTTCACAGATTCATTAGTTATTTTTGTGCATTCTGTTGTTTATTCTTTGGTTGTCTTGACATAATAACATGACTTCTTTTGTTTTGTCTAAACCTATTAGACCACCACCTATACCAACATCTAAACCAGCTGATAGTGGTATATTTCAAGTATTTGAATGTCTCGATGGTGAACTTGAATATGAACAAGATGTACCAGGTAAAATGATTGAACTAACAGATAATAGTGAACCATTACCTGAATTAACATGGGAATTTCGAATAAAATGTAATAAAGAAGCTAAAATTGCATATGGACCATGGGCTGATAGACAAAGGTAAATAGAATTACAATATATATACATATATTTAAATAAACAATTTCAATTTATAGAGAAGTATTATGGCAATATTTTTTTCCAACATTATTTGAAGATTGTCCAGTAACACCTGAACCATTAGTAGGACAAACAAGAATATTTAAAACTGTACGTTTTAAATTATGGCTTTATTGTCCAACTATAATAGATCTTTATTTTATGTCTAAAATGGTTTGTTTGTTTTTTTTCTTCTAATAAAACAAGAAACAAAAAAAAAGTATTGTTGTTATTTCATTATAGACACTTCATAAACTGCATGCTGAAATACCTAATCAAGGTTCATATTTTGATGCATCATTTCCATTTTCAACAAATCCAGATGGTTTTGATACAAATATATCTATGAATATTAAACAACCAATTGTTCATACTAATCTTTCATTTACACAATTATTTAAAGCCGATGAAATTGATGTAAGATATTTTATATTTAAATTCAATGAAAATAAATTTAAGTTCTAAAGATTTTTCAACAATTAAAATAATAGTCAAGTTTAAATAAAACATATTTTTGAAATAACTGTAAACATCTTTATTACGAGTTGTTATTTTTATGATTGTATAATAGATTTAAAAAAACTGCAAGAATTCTTTATTTTCTATTGCTAGTTTATTTCATTAGGAAAATTTTTTACAAGAGGAGATTGTGAAGAATGGTTTCTATGGAATTTTTTTGTATATCAAGCAAGATATTTATGAAAAGCTCGAATGATGATATTTCAAATCTGAAATTCTACCCATACACAAAATCTCGTAATTATTAGAATTTTTCAAAAAACTTCAGCATAAATGATATATTGTTCTTCAGATATTGAATATCCAAAAAAACGATCAAATATCATAAGAAAACTGATCCTTATTAACATTCGATATCTTGAAAAGAATATATTCTTTTGTATTGAAACTCTTAGAAGATTTTAATAATCAAGAAGATCTATTTATAGACAAAATTTTCAGGTCACAATATCGTCATTTCAGTTTTTCATAAGTACCTTGTCAAAGGTAAAAAAAGTTCACTAAAACAATGATAACTCTGAAAGGAATAATTCACAGAGACGAATCGTTTTTAGACTTTTACAATTTACATCGAATTTTTCTTATCAGCAAAGTATCAGATCGATCTGCAATAGATGTATATATATATACAGGGTGGTCCAAAAGTCACGCACCCGACAAAAAATTCAATATCTCCATTAGGGCTTGAGCAAACGGGGTGATTGTTTTAGTAGTAATAGAGGTATGTGCAAGCTTTAAATCCATAAAGACATGTCTAGGAAGACCCTTTGTTAAGTATCACTACTGACCTCAAGAAGAAAAATTTTACTTTTTCATAGTTAGAAAAAAAGTCACTTTGCCAAAAAAAATTGAATATCTCCACTATGGTTCAAGCTAAAGAGCTGATTCTTTTATCAATGATAGAGGCATGTTCAAGCATTATATTCATAAGGACATGGTTAAAAAGATCNTTTTGGAGCGTTAAAACGTATTATTTTTAAGTTCTAGAATAATAGTACGTTTTAACGCTCAAAAACGGGAATTGTCACCGTTTTAACGCCCATGAAGTTACAAAAAAACGCCAATAAACGCGTTTTCATGCGTTTTTTTAATGAGCGTTAATGGCTTACAATCGCGGTTCCCGATTGTGTGTTTAAACGCGTTTTTCAAAATTTTTGTCTGACTGGGTACTGACTATACGGACATCCACATTTACTGCAACATTAAGATACCAACACTATCAAAGTATGCCCTTTTTGTAGAGGTATTTTCCAATGCTTCAGCTATCACTGGTGCCAATGTGCACGAACTATATTGAAACAGTGATGTTAGTGGTTAGTAAACTGAAACTACACATCCTCTAGACCAGAATTTCAAGTTTAGTTATACTTAAAATAGTAGCCTGTATACGAAAATATCATCACTAGAACCTGTTGATCCAGATTCAGAGTGCGGACAAAATATTTCGTACTCGACTACTTATATTCATGAGAAGGAAAGGTAAAATTTAATCGTTGATATAATAAAAATCCAACGATTTAATATTTTCCACGAAAATTTTTAACATTGTATATTAGTTGAAAACCTCATACTTGATCAACTATATAACGATAGTTCCAAGTACGGTGAATATTGAATTAAGATTTTCATTATTGACTTTCCTCGAAACAAAACTCTTGGATTTATTTACATCTAAAATCCTCATCTTTCGTTGTATTATTCTGGTGGCCTATACAACATGTAGAGCCCATCGAAGTCTAATACAAAGGCAATCATCATTTTTCTATTCTCTTAGTTAGATTAGAAAATTAACCAAAAGTTTCCTATCCTTTATTCCAATATGTATATATTATTGAATAGTTATTAAATGTACACAGGGCTGCCCCGACCGGGGGGGGGGGGGGTGTCGGGGGTGTAACACCCCCCCAATCATCAAAAACTTTCGGTTTTTTTGCTCTCAAAATTGAAAATTTTCTTGCTTTCTGCTAGCAAAAATAATGTTACACCCACCCGAAATTCGTAATACTCGGCCTGTTCCTCCCAAAAAAATTCGCTACACCCCCCCAAATGTTGGTCGACTCGGGGTAGCCCTGAATGTACATCAAAAAACAAAATGAAAAAAAAATTTCTGAATATTTAGCCAATAATTCCATCACCATCAACAAACATTCCACCTCCTACAACTTCTTCAATCGTTCCACAATCATCTAGTTCATCATCAAGTAGTATATTTGATGGATCAATTGATCATGTATGGATATCATTTCCTGAACCTCCACATCATACACATTCAACATCAAATTCTTCGAAACGACCACGTATAAATACAACAAGTAATATTCAACAAATTCCAACACCAAAAAAATTATTTTCTTATACACGTTATGATTGGAATTTTCTTTCAACATTATCTCCAACTGTTCTTGGTTGGTTTTGTGTTATAAATCGTATACAAGAACCAATAGAAAATTTTCTTCGTAAACGTGAAAAACGTATTGATGCTATATTAGCTTTTTTTCTTATTGAAATAACACCATCATCAACATTATTACAAAGTAAATTATATGAATTATTTACACCAAAAACAAAATATCTTCTTGCATATCCTGTTTGTCAACTTGTTAGTGAATTTCGAAAAAATTTTAATAAAAATACACAAATTAATATTAATTTACAAGCAAATATTATTCCTGAATTACAAATACTTAAACAAGGTATACGTGAATCATGTCGAGGTTGGGCACAAACAATAAAACAACAACCACATAAAACTATAGTTCAACCACCATCATCAACAATAACAACATCACCTATTAATAGTTTATTACCAACAAATAGTAATGATCAAGAACAACCACCAGCTGTTGTACGTGCTCCAACAATGGTTGATCGTGTTCAACGTTTAATTGGACATGAATTTGTTCGAACTCATCCACGTCATTCATTAATAACATCAAATAAACAACAAGATGCTATAGATAATATAATGATGAATGGTTCAAATGTTCGACGACGTATGACAATACAAAATCCACGATCAAATATAAATAATAAAGATGCAATTATTGAAATGGATCATGATCATAATGAACCATCATCATCAAGTCGTGAACATCGACGTGCATCAAGTTTTCTGGGTAAAATTTTTTCTTTTTTGTTTTTGATCAGCAAATTAGTTTGTTTTTCTTTTTTGAAAAATTAATCAAAATTTTTCTTTTCTTTTACATGAGTAGCTGTTCGAGAAAGACTATCACACGGTAGGATTGTTATTTAGAACCATATTTTTGCAGCTTTTTGTCATTTGCTTTTTGAGAATATCGGTTTAAAACTAAATGAGACATATGAAAATTTATAATCAACACTTATGAAGTAGTAACCAGATAATAAATGCATGAAAAAAGTGAAAATAGAAAGAAAAACAATGAATGATACGATTAAACGAGAAAAAAACAAAACAATTGCTTTTGATTGTTTTTTTTGTTGAACATTAATCGTAACATATTACCTATGTTGCACGTTCTTGTTAATATTATCGCCGGTAGGCCACGGTATAAAGGGTAGCCCCGAAGTCCTGTCTCGATTTGAATAATACTTTTTTTCTTTAACAAAATACGCGATTCAAAATTTTTCTTTTTAACGAAAAGATGCAGTAAAAGACGCTTTACAAAATGGCTTTTAATTGACTTCGGTAGCTCATATAGTAAGAAAATTATAGGCTTGGCAATGTGTTTTACGAAAAAGAAAAATTAACTATGAACTTTCTTCGTATGTTGGATCTTTCATTGAAAGTTTCGCAACTACATCAAAACAAAAGACTCTTCGATCGGGTTCNGTCTTGAAATTCTCTACAAAATCAAATTTCGATCACGTTTTCTGTTTTTTACTTGGGCACATTGTTGGAAATGAAGGTTTTCAACTTTTGAAACTTCATTCTCGGGCACATCATTCACTCTAAAAAAAACTTTTTTTAGAGAAAATGAGAAAGAGTGCATTCAAAAGCACCAAACACAAACTGAGTTATCACTTTTTCTAAGCTTTTCATGAAAATAATAGAAGAAGAAAAAGTTCAAGTCGCAAAAAATTTCGAATTTACAAAGTTTTCATCTTTTTGCGCCTCGTTTATAATTTACTTAGTTTTCTTGATTGGAGTTCTGAAATAAAAGTTTAGGTATGATTTTGTAGAGAATTTCAAGACGCATCTATTAAAAAAAGAATTCGCTCTAAGGGATCTAAAGTACAGGAGTTCAAGCAAAAATACCAAGATTCAATTCACCGTTGATTTTTTCTTTTTCGTGAAGCACATTGCCAAGCCTATAACTTTCTTATTATATGAGCTAGTGGGGTCAATCAAAAACCATTCTGTAGAGCGTCTTTTATTGCATCTTTTCATTAAAAAGAAAAATTTTGAATCGCGTATTTTGTTAAANTTTTATCACGCGAAAATCTTTTTTCCTGTACCCCCCTTCAGGACTTTTTCGTCTCAAGGGGGGGGGGGGCCCGGGCCCCCTCGGCCCCCCCCCTGCGTACGCCACTGGTTAAACGGTAAATATTTCATATATTTCTTGAGATTTTTTTCTGTCTTTGCAGAAAAATTTTTATGAGTCTGTAAAGTTGTCAATCCTTTTGTCAAGACTATATTATTTGTCTTGATTATTTTGAAAAAAAAAATTATTTGATAATGCATCAATCTATTGCAACGATAGACAAAAAGTCCTATCATCAGAATACTAATATTGATGATTCGAGATAGATTGAAACGAAATTTATTTACCCGGTATCATTAAGAGATATTTTCTTTTTTTCTGATATCCCTAGTTCATAAAGCATGCGAAATAAAATCTTCTATTACTTTTGATTTAATTCAACATGCAATGCTGCACCCTAAATCACATTGTTTATTGAAGATTTACTCTTATACATCCGAATGTTCTTATTGTTTTCTTTTTTTTTGTACTTATGGTTATTGTTTGCACGTGTTTTGTTTTTTTATTATTATTATTTAATTATTCGTACATATAATAATGAGTTAGTGAATACGTATATGTCTAAATTCTTATAGTATCACCCACAGGCCATGTAAACGTAGCATTCCAAGAAGGTAAGATTTACATATGAATAAATCAAAGAAAATTATCAATTACATAAACCAATAAGTATATATATATATATCTGCTAATTTTCATGCACATCAACTTGGCAAGGCGATTTCTAAACGATTATGTTTTTTTCTTTTGACCAATGTTGTATATGTATTTAATATTTTAAAAACAAAAAATAGATGCATGTGCATGATAATTTTTTTTTACGCTTTCTTTTTTTTTTTAACAACAAAAACAAACATTAAAATTAAAAATCTTAATTTGACTTATTTCTTTTTTTTTTTGTTTGTTTTTGTGGTATTAAAAGGTGATGCTATGCGACGTTTTGAACCAACAGCTAATGTTAATAATACAAATGGTTATAAACGTTTAAGTATTGGTCTTGATGAATCTGATTTTGAATGTAATACAAATAATATACGATTAAATGATAATAATCATGATGATTTATATAATGAAACAACTTATTATACAGATGTTGGACCTGAATTTGTTGGACCAGTTGAACAATTATTTAAAATTTTACTTGAATATGCTGGTGTAGAATTATCAGTAACATCATCAATTGAACCATTATTTAAAAAATTAGGTCAAAAAGTTCTTGCATCAGCACAAATAAAACGATTTGATGTTAAAATTTTACCAAATGAACCAACAACAAATGAAATACAAACATTAATAAATAATTCACCATCATCTCTATCAACAGTACAATTTCGTTTACCACATATACGTTCATCAATATTAAATACATCAAATGAATTATCTATACTTTCAGTAACAAATTTAAATATTCAAAGTGTTTTTCGACAATCTCTTGAACATGATCAATTACATTCAGCTAATGTTCAAGCTGGTATACGTGTTCAACGTGTACAACAAGAAGTTAATTTATCATTTATACGTCTTGTTTATCAATTTTATACTGTTGTTGATAATGCACTTGAATATACAGGTATTGATGAAATAACAAAATCAGATACAAATCCAATTCAACAACAACAGCAAAATGAATTAATTAATAATTCTGTACGAAAAAATACAATAAATAATTATCCTGAAAGTGGTCTAGAAAGTCTTGTTTTAAAAAATATTCAACAAAATATTCTTCATGTTAAATCACATCATGATGATGAAGATTTAAATAATCCTGAAAGACAATGTTGGAAAAAATTACGTGAACTTGTTGCAATTTATGGTACGTTACCTGAAATTAAACAAGTACAACCACCAATATCAACAACATCAAGAAAACAACAACGTAGTGGTTCACAACCACCAAATGACAATTTACCACAACAAAATACAAATACATCATTTAAATATTTACAAAATCAAACACGTAATCTACAAACAAATTTAGCAAGTGATACAATTTTACTTTCATCATTTGGTTGGTTAATTATTGATGAAATTTATTATGCAGCATCATTAGGTGGTCTAAAAGTTGATGGTTGTATGGGAAAAGTTCAAGGTAGTGTTAGTTTATCACAAAGACTTCGAGCTTTACCATCAACAACTCGTAATCAAAATACGAAAAAGTAAGATGAAAATCATGAAGTCATTCATAATATGTTTAATCAAACAAAAAAAAATAAGATAATTAAAAAATTGAAATAAACTAAAATTAATAAAGAAATTTAAGTTTTTCTGATTTATTAATAAACAAATTCCGATGGAAGATTCCCTAGATGATGAAAAACAACTATTGAATCTATATTTTTCCTAGTAATAAGGAGAGCATTTAATAATCATAACTCGCATTCAGTGATATTCACACCTACAACTGCTGAGTTTCTACTAACTAATTAGTCGCTCGCAACACAAATGACTTTGTTATTAGAGATACAAGCCGAAGGGTCGAATGGCGGCGACAGCTGCTAAAAAGTTCTTAAAATTACCTATGATTTAGTGGTTGCGGCCACTTATTTTCCAGAAAAGTCGGCGATGACAGTGGCTCACGAGGGAGGTACCCGAAGTGATTAATCGGTTTTGAGTTCGAACTCTGTGCATAAGGTAGATCCCAGTAAGATATGAAAAACCCCAAAAAGATAAGGGCCCGTAGGCTTTTCGTTCAGAGTTATAGCCATTTTACTGGAATTTTCGCCTATAGCATAGTATACGCTAACAAATCGAATGACGATATTTCGATCTGAAATTTCGTCTACGAATAGGTCTACTTGTAACTAACGTGCTCTGAAAATTCCAGCTAAAAGATATGTTTNCGCATCTTACTCTCCTACAACACCCACATCCACACCCACCCCCACCCCCACACCCACACCCACACCCACACCCACACCCACACCCACACCCACACCCACACCCACACCACATCCACACCCACACCACACGCACACCCACACCCACACCACACCCACACCCACACCCACACCCACACCCAAAATTCTTGTATCGACTATTTTCTCACTTGAGCTTACAATAATAGATCATCTATCAAATAGTGAGAAGTTCTTTCTAGAGAACGTTGTAAGACTATGTTGTTTTGATATGACTGACAAATCAAGTGGCTGCTAGTAAATGAACTATCGAAAATTCAGATTTAGCATACTTCTGAACTGTTTTATATTCTCTCAACCACCGATTAAAAATTTTGAATATGTTTGTTCAAACGACTATTTTAGTCGCAAAAAAATGAAGATTTTACGTCTTACTCCATCAGAGTAAATAATATTTTAAGTTCATTTCATTTCGTAAAATATGCGGTTTTTTCGTATCGTGGTTAGACAATAAGAAAAAGAAAAAGATGAAAAAGCAAGAAGGAAAGAAAAAATCTTTTTGTTTTTGTTGTCAGTCGAAGGCGCACATTTTCGTCACACTATATTTACATCTTCAGTACGAATAGGCAATGCATAAATAAAAAGTCAACTTACCATTGTAAAAGAAAAATAATGGCATCAATGATAGAAGAATCAGGTAACTACGTATAATCAGTAAAATGATCATCCATGCAATGAATCGTTACTTTTCTATACCAGGTGCATTTATTATGGACTCGGGATTATTTTTTGACATCATTCCTGTTTTATTAAGCTATCTAGACTTCAAAAGTCTCATTCGCTTAGCGCAAACATGTTATTTTTGGAAAAATCGAATATATAATGATTTGAAATTATGGTCAAAAGTGATTGAATTGCCTTATATTGGTTGTATGGACAACTATGTTGGCGTATATAATACGCTTGAAACTGTAATTAAGGCAAAATTATGGTCAATGATTCGACCGCCGGAGGATCCCAAAGCTTTAGAGAAAATTTTGGAAAAAATGGCATTATCAAAAGAGAGTATACAACGATTTGCACGAGTGAAAAAGGTATGACAGTAATTTTAAAAAATGTATTCTACTAATGTTGAGTAATGTGAGTTATCTTAAGTTCTCCTCTACTCAAAAAAAAGTCAAATTTTGTCAGAAATATCGACATTGAGATAAATGCATGCGAGGATAGTCTGAGCTCTAATCTTCCATAGCCAATATGACTTTGCAGTTGGTTCCTGGATGTTTTTTGCCAGAATTTGTTATCATTACTGTCATATTCTACTTTTAAGTACAATTTTTCAGAAAAACGGCTTTTTACATGTTCGCATGGAAAATAAGCATTTTAATAGAACCCGGTACCCGATGTCAATTATGTACCATTATTTAAAAAAATGCTCATCAGATATTTAGACCTATATATCACAGGTGGTGATCATCCTTCTCTTGAAGTATGCTAAAAAATTGGCTTAAAATAATAACATATTTTTTAATTTCTCTTTTAAAAATGCTTTTCATTTCTTCTATTTATGCTTTTTTGGTCGCGTATGTTATAGTTTTTGGGAGATCTTCATTTTAAATACTTAGAAGAAGAAACACTATTGAGCAGAAATCCTCATTTTTTTTACGTTTTTTCGAAAGTGTTGATCTGGTCAGCCTGTCCTTCCGCATAAAAAGTGAGTATTCAGTAAAGAACTCTGTCAGATCTTGTACCAACAGAGTTCTCTACCTAACAAAAGAACAACTACTTGTTTCTAATAAGGCCTCAAAGAGAATTCTGGATTGTCAAATGAGCCATTTTTTACCTCCAACATATCCTGAGCATTTCATGCAATGTGAATGTATATGAACGAAAATCAATTTTTGAATGCGAAGACGGCTCTGAATATCTTTGTTGCCTATGACTTGGACTCAGTAGATTTGATGTAATCTCTCAGAATTAGTTTTAGAGTATTTTGAATGCTATGATTCTTGTGCATGTTGTAGGTTCTATTCCAAAATTTTATTCACACTGATGAATCGTTACGTCTTACAGCTTTACTATTTCCTTCGATTGAGGAGATTAGTTTTGAAGGTAATCTTTTATCAATTTCTGGTGTTCACCATATAGCTACGTCTTGTAACAAGCTCAAACATATTGAATTTTATCAGTGTGGCAATCTTGACTTACGAAATGCTTATCGGTTATTTAACACCGAAGAACATAAAGAATGTCTAGAGCGAATCTTTATTTATTGTGGCTTTTGGTCGAAATATTCTGTTAAGTTACCAACTAAAAATGATTTGCCTTTCATGGCATTGTGCCAACGATGTGGATTATATTATAATGAATTGATCAATGAAAAGACAATGCTATGTCTTTATCATCCAGGAGTAAGTATTGCAACTGTTTCTCCAATAGATTTATCACAGATTGAGACGTTGAAATGCACAGAAAAGTTTGTTTCACAATCTTATAATTCTTGGACTATGACAGCCAATTATAGATTTTTTCGTTTGCAATTTGTTCTAGTTTTTAGTTATTTCCATTTTGTATTTCAATATCTTATACTAATTTTTCTTTCTAACATAATCTAATACGATTATCTGTGTTCGATAGTTTATTTGTACGGAAGAATAAATCATGAATTTTTAGTTTACTTTCTTAAAAGTTTTGTCATAGACATATAGAGGTTATGATCATAGCTGTTCATCATTTGACTGTTGTGGTAGTAATACGCCAAGATATCCATCGACATTAGGTTGTCAATATACTTACCATGATAAATGGTTTAATGCATCATCATCACCAAATCAAAGACATTATTCTTTCAAACTACATGATGGGTAAGCATTCCAGATCAGATTTTTCGTCTGAAAATTTGAACTATCTTTCTTTTTTTATTTTCATAGACATCCTGAATATATGTTTCAAAAATATAATGATGTTCAATTTTTACTGCCTTGTACTGAGCGACGCCGCTTAGATAAATGTTATAAGAAATGGAATAGAAACTAGCCACAGGCAAACAACAAGGACATATGCGACATAATTACATTTTTCAAGTGTCATACACTTTTCTCAAATATTAAACGAAAAATTAGTCCTTTTCTTTTTGAAAGAACAATAAAAATGATCTTTTCCAATGTATTGAGGAAAATAATTTATTTGCAAATGCTTAATTAATTCGATTGTCACTAATATACACATGATTTTGTGACTTAGGAGACATTGCAAGTATAAGCCATGACGATTGTTGCTCAATTGATCTCACCGATTTGGTTTCTATTTCTACAGTAGATATAAACATCTGAGTTAGGAGCAAACTAAAGTTTCAGCTCAAATAGATAAGTCATTCTGGAAATATCGATGGTGTAAGTGTAGCTGCTCTGCTAAATTTGGAGCACTTTATACAGTACAATACTCTTCAGCAAAATTTTCATTTTCTGAAGAACGATAAGATATATAACAGAGACTATTTTTTACCATAGATGCTATCGATCATTGATTAGATTTTCATGTTAATGAAAGTGTCTTATGGTCTGATATTTTTGCGTTGCTATTATGTACCATTTTGAGGAAGTATGATCACCGAGATAAGTTAAGTTGATCGGATAGAACGCTATAGAAAAGTTTGAAAGTAGTTTCAATTGAAAGAGCACAACAAAGTGCATTGAATGAAGTTTTCAAAAATTTGTAGGATTGTACTTTGGGGTAGCAAACACTTTTTGAACAAGATCAAAGACGCTGAAAATGCGATAGCTTTCTAAGTACAAGAATATGAAATTTCTTCTTAAACGTTGGATTCTTATATTTCAAATGAAAGCCGACGGTGAGAAACTTCTAAATCCAAAATTTTACCTCGTTTGGACCTACCTGTAAAAAATGGCGAAAGGTTCATTTTTTCATATCTTATTGAAGAATATTTAATTTGGTTCACTTTTTGCATGCCTATATTTTTGTAAAGGAATTATCAAGTCATCTAATATTTTCATCATAAACTTTTCTTATTTTGATCTTTAAGTGTCTCAGTTTTATGTCGAAAATCGAAATTTCATTTTTCCCATGTTCTTGAGGGAGGGATCACGACAATATTCTCCCAAAGAAAATTCGAAAAAAGACGATATTTTGGTAAAAACAAATTAATATTCAAAAATCTTTGAACAGTTTCCACAGTTCATTAGGAATAATGTGACGCATATAGTAGTCATCCGAAAGTAGTTTGTTACCAAAATATATTCTCTTGAAAAATATGTTGGAAAATACAGTGGACTAAATATTCTTCAAAAA